GCTTCCCCAGGGCGCAGCCGCGGCTACAGTGTAGCGGCTGGGGTCCCAGCCCCACCTGGCCTGCGGGGGCGAGAGCGGGCCCCAGCGCGACCTTGGGCCTGGGGAGTGTGTCTCCGACGCCTGTGGGCGCAGCAGTCTGAGGTCTAAGCGCAGGTACGTCCCTTTTTTTGAAATGAAATGACCCAGGCCCAGAGCACGTGGCACATGGCGACCAGAGGGTGCCCGGGCGCCGGTTTGGTGCAAAGGCCGGAGTCTGCCCGCCTGACTAAAGTGCATTTACCTTCTCGGCTCTGCGGGGCAGAACAGCTGCATCTAATGGGGTCGGATCGTTAACCGGGGGGTACTGATGAGAGGCCTGCAGGAAACCGGAGAGGACCCCACGTCGCCCTTTCCTGTGCCCTTTTAAGGCTGACGCAGTGCCTTAAGAGGCTAACACAGAAGGGTAAAGCAAGTCTCCATAAAACCCAAAGAAGAGATGGTAAAACTCCTCTTTGGATCCTGTCTGGAGTCACAGCTGAAACCAGAGAATTTCCCTTTCAGTTTGAGCAGCTTTTGTGTTTTTACACAGACATGAGCAAAGTGATACATTTAACCTTAGCGGTGGTGATACCTTCAGGCGTGCTTTTAAAACTCTGGGGATGCCGTCTAGTATTTTCAAATAGATAGGGGAGTTTGGGTACTTTGGTTGTCTTTGAAGGCGGAAGAAATCCAGATGGTAGAACCACATGTACACAAGGCTTTTTCTGAACATTTGAGACAAACAGAAGAAGACATGTCAAGTTTCTTAACTGCTTAGTCATTCAAAAACTCTTTTTTTTATAGGTTGAAAACGACAGGTACAAGCCATTGATGCTGGAATGCTGTGATGCTGGTATTTTAACGGACTCAAAACTAACGTTCAGGCTAAGTGTGCTTAACGAGGTCAGGCATTGTTGTGTAAGTAATGAGGTCAGGCATTGTTGTGTACGTTGTAGCAGCCATGTGTCCATGCGCCTGCACAGGAGTTCACACGCAGTAGCTGGTGGTGAGAGAGCAGTGCAGCGGGCGCCTCATTTCCTTCTTTTCATTTAATTCTCACAATTATGTGGAGTCAACACTGTTCTCTAATTTTACAGATAAAGCAACATTAAGTCCCCCCCCACCAACCCTCGGAGGACTCTGGGCCACTCCTATACCTATCAGGGACACAAGTCTTAGTCAAGGATTGGAAGGCACTCACCCAGTTCTCTATATGATAAAGTTCCAGGGATCGCCAGTTGGACCCACCTCCTGGACCTGGCTTACACCTTTTTTGCAAAAAAAAAACAACAAAAAAAAACCCCAAAACAAACCAGAATGCTTCTAAATTCCAGATAAGGCCCAGCCGTCTCTTCTATTATCTCCTCATTCACCCTAGCTAATTCCAGTAGCGCTTATCAATTAGCCAACTTTATTGCCATTACTTTACAATTCAATACCACCTGCTGGGGATATATAAAACCAACATCTCTGGAATTGGGGAGCACTTACTGCTGATCTAGTTTGAGAACCTCCCCAAATCCCGATATTGCCAAGGAAAGCCCCATAAGGATGTAAACTTACTAAGGGTGAAGGGCAATTGTGTCACTCTTATCTGTGATTCTCAAAATACCCTACATTTGAATCCCCAAAGGGGGCCCCTATTTCTTGAAAGAATTTATGAAAAAAATCTATAACCCCTCTACTTGACTCCCTAACCACAGCCACATTTGCAGCCCAGGGGGTCCAACTCTGGGGAACCAAGTTCTCCATCAGAAGGGGAAACCATGCCTCTGGGGAAAGTATTCTTATGCTGACATCCAGGTAACTGAAGAACTTACCCTTCCGAGGAAATTTCCTGGATTTGGGGATCCTGTGCCTGACTGGCTTTGTCCGCTGGATGGAGAGGTATTTGCTCTCTAGGCTATGTCATCCCTATGTCAGCATGACAACCCCATAGCCTGGAATGACAGCCCCCTTTCCCTCTCCATTCCGGAAGTCATCTAAGTGGAAGAGCAGGGTTTCTCATCCTCCTGGGGGGAGGGGACAGCTGTAGGAGCTTCACTGGGGATCCAACAGCTTTTATCCGAAAACACAGCTGCCGCTGGAAGACAGGAGAAACCGTAAACATGTTGGAAGAGCAAATTGATTCCTTAGCCTGTAGCCCTTCAGAATAGAACGTGGTACCTGTTTACACCTAAAGGAGGAATGTTGCCTCTATATCAATCAGGGCAGGTACAACAAAGCACCAGACATCTTTGAAAGGGCAAGCAACAGATTACTGGGGACTCCTTCTGGAATGCCAAATCTTGGCTTCTCTTCCCCTTCCCTTTGCTGCGACCATAATTCTGGCTCCTAATATTTGGGCCCATGTCACCTTAATTTATTCAACACATTCCTTATATAGCAGCCATACAGCTCTGAAGTAACATACTGAAACAGGTTAGGCCAACGGGGGAGCGGGGGGTGAGGACCACAGGGCAGCTATTGAGAATTAAGTTCTTCACAGCATTTACATTGAATCTACAAAAGCTCCAAAATTTGGCCCAAATGGGGCATATGTCAGCATTTTTAAAAATGAATATTGCATAATGTAAGAAGGGATATAAAAGACAGTGGTGCTAAATAGAATAGGAAAGTACTGGTGGTGATGGGGGAAGTTTTCATAAGGGAAGAAATGTGGCCACAGCAAGATGAGCACAGGCAAGTGTGTGCTAGAAGTCGTTCCTGGTGCCCAGCTTAATGTCAAACTCGTTTTCTTGAAATCTCTAATAAAGGTATATAATATCCACTTTGGAGTCAGTGCTTATTTCATAATGCCGCGTTTTTGTTTTCTAAATTTCATTTTTTGATTTTTCCATGTTCTATAAAATCCAGCCTTATAACTTTTGTATTTGTAATTTATTTTTTTGTTTGTTCATTGCTTATACCCTATTTTAGTTCACAAAGAGTTTGAATGTAGTTTATAAGAATATATTCCAATGAAATTCTAAAAACAGGAAATTGTAGTATAGGGGAAATAAGGTAAAGTCCAGCGTGGCTCTGCTGGAGCCTTGTCCTGTAAACCAAAAGATAGTGGGGTGTATGCAAGAGGCAACCAGACGATAAAGTCCAAAAGACCCCAAAGTACATAAAATTATAGGGCATTAGGTTCTGTATATTGCTAGGAGGTCAAAAGATTTGCTGAGCTGCCCAACAGTCAATGCAAAAATCAGAAATAGAAATGAGACACCCAGCCCTAACTGGTTTGGCTCAGTGGATAGATCTTTGGCCTGCGGACTGAAGGGTCCCAGGTTCGATTCTGGTCAAGGGCATGTACCTTGGTTGTGGGCACATCCCCAGTAGGGGGTGTGCCGGAGGCAGCTGATCGATGTTTCTAACTCTCCCTCTCCCTTCCTCTCTGTAAAAAATCAATAAAATTTATTAAAAAAATGAGATACCCCAAAAAAGAAATCTTGAAATTTCCCCTGGATCTTCATAAAGAAGGCACTGACCAACCTCAGTGTCAGTAACCGAAAGAGTATAATCCTTTAAACTTCCATGTGTCCACGGTTTTTGATGCCCATGCAGCCTAGCCAAGGTGATTTAGCATTCTTAAACTCAACAATTTCCCCCCCCAAGTCCTAATTATGTGTCAAGAGGGTTATCAGTTTGCACATGTGACCTTGGGGGAGAAAACGGTTCTGGTTATCAAGCAGACAGGCCACACTTGACTGTGATGCTAAAACTGCACACAGCCGGTGTGCTCCAAGGATCGAGGGGGGAAGATGAACATTGAGCCCAGTGCCTTTCTACTCTGCCCATTAATTTCTCCCAGTCAATGGGAATATAAATTCTGACATTTTTCTGCTGATAGTTTAAGGCAGGGGTCCTCAAACTACGGCCCACGGGCCACATGCAAATACAAATATTGTATTTGTTCCCGTTTTGTTTTTTTCAAAATAAGATATGTGCACTGTGCATAGGAATTCGTTCATAGTTTTTTTTTAAACTATAGTCCGGCCCTCCAACGGTCTGAGGGACAGTGAACTGGCCCCCTGTTTAAAAAGTTTGAGGACCCCTGGTTTAAGGACTTGCCTCTAACACTTGCCCTTTAATCTCACCCTAACATTTCAGCTACAACAAATCTTTGGGATCTAAACTAAGACAATCAAGAAATCTTAAATTTCTTTATTCTTAGAGCTTATGAAAATTACCAAATATGCACAAAGATATAATTCAATAAGGCCCTGTGTATTTTTTAAGTATTTTAAAGAAAACCCAACATGTATTTCATCACTAAATATTTCAGTATTCATGTCAATAGAAAAGAAAAGAATCGTACCTGGCAACAATACCAGTAGGATTGTTAAGAAAATAATTTTAAATCCACACTCAGTTTCCTACATTGTAAAAAATAGATCCTATTTTACAGTGTGAATCAAGATTCGAATAAGGTAAAATACTTTTATTGATTTCAGAGAGGAAGGGAAAGGGAGAGAAACCTCAATGATGAGAATCATTGATCAGCTGCCTCCTGCACACCCCACATGGGATCCAGCCCACAACCTGGGCATGTGCCCTGACCTGCATTTAAACAGCATAATATATACTCTTAAATTATTAAGGTATTACATATGTGTCCTTATTCCCCCATTACTCCCCCACTCATGCCCTCACCCCCCTGTTGTCTGTGTCCATTGGTTAGGCTTATATGCATGCATACAAGTCCTTTGGTTAATCTCCCCTTATCCCCATCCGCCCCTACCTTCCCTCTGAGGTTTGACGGTCTGATGGATGCTTCTCTGTCTCTGGATCTAAACAGCATAATATTTTCAATGCCCAACAAACAAGAGCAGTACTATGCAGTGCTGGGATGTCATTCCTCTTTATGCCTGCAGAATATCCCATTGATTGGATATCCTGAATTTTGTTTATCCATTTATCGGTGGGTATGCCTTCGATTTTTTTAAAACCATGTCATGTCCGTTGTCCTAGAGTTTCACATGCTGGCTGATTGCTTACTCCTGATGCTGTTTCATTTGTTTATTATCACAGACTTGAGAGGAACCCCCTATTCTTGAAAAATTGGTTGTCAAACTTTAGGGTGTGGAAGAACTACCTGGCACGACTGCTAAGGGTGCCGGATTTTAGGCTCCATCAGTGGCGAGTTTGATGTAGTAGACAAGAGGGGGCCCAGGAATCTTTTCAATAGGTGAGTCAATGTTGATGCAAGTATTCCGAGAAGGCATTTTGAGAAGCTCTGTCTTTAAACCTGGATTTTATTGGCATTTAACATTTCATAGGAAAGCCCAACAAGCAGCTGGTAGGTCATTGCCTAGGACTTGTTAGAAATATTACTTACAGAATTACTGAAAGGGGTCTCAGTTGATGGGTGATGTCTTCTGGGTTGGAGATAGACATTTGAAGGAATGATGGGTTGCCCTTGCCGGGTAGCTCAGTTGGTTAGAGCATCGTCCAGAGATGCCAAGATTTTGGGTTCGATTCCATGTCAGGGCACATACAAGAGTCAATTGATGAATGCAACAAACCGTTTTCTCTCGAATCAATAAAAAATTTTTTAAAAAGAAGGAATGATGGGCAAGAGAATTGTGTGGTGGATGCTACTTAGTCACCCTGGAGTGAGTGAAGTAGCCAAATGTAGCTTGAGAGGTAATGAAGCTAAATAGCTTCCATGAATTAAATTACTGTATGGATAGATCTTTTACAGTATTGACCTCAACATTTACAAATGCACTCAGATTAATTAATGACAGTACTTTTGAGTTCGGGAAATCTTAATTCTTAACCTGAAGCCATTTTCTTTTAGGTGACCAAGAACAAAGTAAGTTGCAGATATTCAAAGAGAGCAATCCTTTTACTCTAGAAATATGCTACAACGAAATACAACCATTTTTGCTTCAACACTTTTTCATTATATTTTCCATTATCTAAATAGAGTACTTTACAACACCAAGAACTCCTGAGTAGAAAGAGTTGTTTTCCCTTAATTTAATGACAAGAATTTGCTTTCACTTAATAGATGAGTGATGCTTTTAAGGGTCTTTTAATGGTGTCAGAGCAGCCGGAGCAGCAAATGGAGTTCCATTTACTCTGTGTGCCTCATTAAGCTATCACAGAAGAGGGTAATGTGGCCGAAGGAAAAAAACACCACCAGTGCTTTTCCAGGCTTTGAGGGAGAAAGGAAAGATTTTAAGATATGAAAACAGTTTTGACGTCCCAATGCCTTTCCAATGGCGTTCATAGGGGAGCCATCAGTGGAAAGGAATCTTTAATTCTTGAGCAATAACCTCAACTTCTTGAACTCATTAGCCTGACATATAAGGGGTAAGTGCGTACGGCAACAGTATATTTAAAAAAAACAACATACTATTAGGTAACATTTCAAGCATACCCCCAAATAAAGAGAAGGCTGAAGCTCCACGTACCCAGCATTGAGCTTCATCAATTAGCAACAGCTTGCCCATCTCCTTCATCTGACCACTTACCTTTATTTCTGATAGTTTTCAAGGAAATTTCAGACATTGTGTCATTTCACCTGTAAAAAGTTTTCATTTGTATTTCTAATTGATAATATTTTAAAACATAACTATATGTCATCATACCTAATATATTTTTTAATTTTTTATTGATTTTTTTTTTTTTTTTTTTTTTTTTTTTTTTTTTTTTTTTTTAGAGAGAGAGGGAGAGGAAACATCCATTTGCGGTTCCACTTATTCATGTATTCACTGGTTGCTTCCGGTATGTGTCCAGACAAAATTAAACCCACAACCCTGGCATATCAAGACGATACTCTAACCAACTGAACGACCCGACCAGGGTAACAATATATATTCTTTAATTATCCTTCAAAACCTGGTCCATGTTCAGGTTTTCCCGATGGTCTTCTAATCAGAATCCAAACAAGATCTACACATAGTATTTGGTTATGTCTTTAAGTCTCGTATTTTGTAATAATCCTCCTTTATCTGGGCACTGGTTTGTTGTAGAAATGGGGTGATTTGTCCTGTAAAATGACCCACATTTTGTGTTTGTCTTCTTGCGTTCCCTTAGTGTATTTTATTTGTTTCTTTATTTCTTAGAAGCTGGCTTCCCAGTGCATTGTATCACCAGGCACAAAATGGCACAACCCTCCCATCTTTCTAGGCTGCACCAGTGGTTCAGGGGGTGTTGGTCTGATTTCCCCATTTCAACGTTAGCCATCACCCTTTCACGGAGTGTCTGTCTTCCCTTTATGTTCATTCCTTACACTCTTTATCTCACTAGTAGCTGTAAAGAAGTAATTAAATTTAAGAATCATTCCTTCTGCATCTAATAGCTAGACTTCCACAAGGAACAATGTTCCCTCATAGACTATTTGGTTACTCCATAAATGTTTATACAGGGAAGGCTTCTTCCTTTCCTTTCCTTATCAAATTTCAGAGTAATATAATCTCCAGTAAGGATGGGGAAGTTCCATGTTATGAATTCAGGATTTTTATATGGCTTACATTTCATCAGAAGTATGTTTTTAAAAATGGTGCTGGAGATGGGATCATGAAAAGTTGGCATCCGCTTTGTGAGACAGTTTCTCAAAGTCTGACCACAAACCGTGTTTATGTCAGAACCCCCTGGGGGCAATGGTTAGTGCAGTGGTTCTCAACCTTCTGGCCCTTTAAATACAGTTCCTCATGTTGTGACCCAACCATAAAAGTATTTTCGTTGCTACTTCATAACTGTAATGTTGCTACCGTTATGAATCATAATGTAAATATCTGATATGCAGGATGGTCTTAGGTGACCCCTGTGAAA